TATCATATGTTTTTATTTCTTAATGCAGTGCAACTGTTCAATGTCCACTAGTCATTTTTAAGTAAATATTCACTGTCACTGGACATTGTTCAAAGTAAATATCCACCATCACTGAACATTATTTCCGCAACTAGACATTATTCAACTATTATTTTAAAAATAAAAAAAAAGTTTAAATACTACATTAGAAAATGTCATACTCCCTCCGTTCCTTTAAACACTTCATATTTTGACTTTGAGCCAAAATAAGGAATGTGTAATTTTAGTTGAATTTCCAATTTTGCCCCTGATGTAATGGGTAAAAGTAAGATGTGATAGTTTGGTTATTAGTGAAAAAGTATGTTGTGATAGATAGGATATGAAAAAGTAGGGGTAAAAGTGGTTTTTTAATAGAAAGTGGATGTATTTTAGGGAATTGGAAAAAAAATGAAAGAGGAATAGTTTTATGAAACGGAAGGAGTATGTTTTAATATTTTTTAATGCAAATTTCACTAAATTAAATTGACAATAGTCAAACGGTCTTTCTCAAATTGTGTCTTCTACCAACGTTTTACAAGACCCAACCTAAATAATTATTTCATGTATTAAAGTTCATATAATGACGACCATGTATGGAGCTAAGAATGAAAATAGAATTTGTCAATATTATTCTAATTTATCAAATCTTTGAAATATGTATAAAAGATGCTCCTCCAAAATGTTAAAAATGAACATATTACTTATTTGATTAAAATACGGAGTACTTTTTTTTCCAAACATGCACAAACAAATTAAAGAAATTGGATAAAGTTGAATTTATGAATGCTCCATAAATGCCTGTTCTGGAAGCTAAAATATACTACAGGTTTCTTACATTCACATTTCGAATTATTTATATATTGGCATCTTCATATTAATTAGTCTTCATTCAGAAAAGTAGAAAGAAAAAGAGTTAAAATGTGTTGAAAACCAACCCTACACAAACTAGCATAATAAGGTGTTTGGTCAGAATCCAATGATAAAGCTAAGTAACAATGTTGTACGTAATGAAAACACATAGAATGGATCCCGAGGACCTTTTCCCCCCTTTGTGAGTATATATATCCACAAATTTCGTATTATACTACTCCCCCGTCCCACTTTAGATTACAATATTCCATTTTTGTTAAAATTAAAGAAGAGTCAAATCAAATTTTTTTTCCCCAAATTACCCCCCAAATCTCCCAAGTATCCTTCTCACTCACATGAATGAATAGTGTGTAAATAGTGTAGAAGTGGGAGGGTAAAAGAGTCAATTCCTTGTAAAGTTATTGATTTTGTAATTCTTTTTTGAACAAAAATGTGAGGGAATATTGTAATCTATTTCGGGACGGAGGGAGTATATTCTTGAAACCGAAATGGTTAATTCATAAGAGATGTTCCTCATTATCATACCTCTTGACCCACAATTCATCCAACATTAACCTTTGATCCATACCATGTTGGAATATTAGGTGGTCCTCAGGATTATTTATCTTATTATTGATCAACTACCATAATAATCCATATTATATTATTTGTAATTACTTGATGGACGTAATTACTCCTACCATATTAAATAGAGGTCATTGGACAACTAAAGAGATATCGAACATTGTCACGGCTGAACTTACAACTCTAAAGGGATTTTCGGCCCCCTCTCTTGTCTCAGTAATTCGTGACCATCAAGATCACCTGATTCCATCCTTAACGGGAACCTGATTAAGATCATTTAGTCTTCTCTCACTCATTGAATCACGGGTTTACCAGGTATTATGTATAACAATAATTGGAAGAGAAAATATTCTTTATATATATTGAATTGGCTTGAAAATACAAAGATCTAGTCCTCTTTATATAGGAAGAGAGTAAAGCAAATAAAGAATTTTGTATTCCTACTAAAACAAGAATTAAGCAAACTAGGAAAGATACTGAACTCCAAAGAGATTCGATTTCCTTCTTCGATATTGCTACCTTCTTCTGTCGCCAACTCCCCCCCTCAAGCTGGACCATAGGGGTTCCGCATGCCCAGCTCGGACATCAAAGGATTGAACTAAGGAACGTCATTATTTTCGAACCTTCACAAAATTCAAATGAACATGGAGAACATCATTCTTTTCGAACACCCTAAACGCTAATTTTCTGTATCGCCCGCAAAGGAAAGAGTTGTCTGTCTCTATAGAACAACCCTTTTCAGACAACTTCTTCAAGATTGATGGTTGGGATTCCTCGATAGCAATGTTCTTCATTGAAGGAGTTCATGAGATTCTTTAGTGAGGGAGAACAATCAAAGAAACTCAAAAATTAGAATATTCCGTGAGTAGGCATTGAACTGTGTATGCCCACTGGCAGGGGAAGAAGCGTGTTTGAGGTCTCAAGAATTCAAAACTTGCTCTGATACCATGTAGAAAATTATTAGGAGGAGAATATATTCTGTGTATTGAATATGCTTGAGAATACAAAGATCTAGTCTTCTTAATACAAGAATAGGGTAAAGCAAATAAGAAAATATTTATATTCCTACTAAAAGAAGAATTAAGCAAACTAGGAAAGATACTAAACTGACCCCTAAAGAGATTCAGTTTCCTTCTTCGATCCGGCTTCCTTCTTGTGTCGCCAACATATTATTTAATCATTATTCTTTTTTCATTATATGATTGAAAAATCATAGCTCAACATACAATTTGGAGATACCTAACTTGAACTCTATATCTAGACCACTATAGTATTCTTTTTCGTTCTAGCAATTAAATTCGTAATTTTATTCTGACCTTAGGATTGATAAGGGAGATGGTAACCTCCCAATCTCTCATCATCTAACTCTGACATATCTCTACTATTCCATTCAACACACTCCAATGAGCCACTTTGGATAATCAGTCATCGCAAATCTTTCCTCTATGCCCAACTTAAAACCTTTAGAAACTGTTGCACGTCTAAAATGTTAAAAAGTAAAAAATTCTATAGTTATACTTTTACTCCCTATGTTTAGTAATTTACTTCATGGTTGCTTTTTATTGCCCGTAGGTATTTACACACACCCTACCAATACCATATTCTTGTAGGATTCAACTAAGTTGTTGTTACGTTGTTGGGGTTGCAAATATATTATGGGATTTATCTATTAATGTGCAGTTGTTATAAGGTGTCCTAATTCAACTCCTTAGATAATGACTAAATTGTCAGTTCCATGTAGTGTTCCTTGTTGTTGGTAATATTTTTTAATAAACAAATAGATTTGTTTGAAATGATTTGTTGTTGTTTTAGTTTAGAGTTGTAACATTTTGTCCGTCACCTTGTGAAAACCTGTAGCATCCCAAAACTCTTATATAAGTGGAGTCATGAAATTACAGAAGCTTGATTTACTGAGATATGCGCTGAAACCTTCTAATTAATTAAGAAGTAATTATTTATTGAGCGAGTCCAGCGTGCGTTGTTAAAGAAAAATAATCACTTAAACTTGCAATCTTAAACCCCTTTCATATACTTTTGGGTTAGAACTCCTGGTCCTACAAAAATTGTTATAAAAATTGTTATAATGAATCTCCTAATCCTATTTGGTCAGGGTAAAGTTTTTGCCAATATATATTAAAGAGCACAAGCATCTCAATTATTAAAATTGGTGTTGGCAAATGCGGAACCAATAAATAAAATGTTGAAATAAAAGCATAAAGGAAAGACTCACCAATTAAGACTGGTTTGGTAACTCCCTACTCTAGTACCTAAAGGATCCTGCTTAAAGATTTCCAAATCCACTAAGTCTTGGTTTCTTGAACTCCGGGAAAGCCCCGCACTAGTTTTGGAAAACAACCCTTGCCAATAAGATTCACTCAGAGATTTTACAATGGCTATCTCGAACCGCTTACAATGAAGATTTCACGGCTATCTTCAACTGTTTCAGCAAGGATTTCAAAGGCTATCCTTGAACCTTTACCCAAGGATTTCTCGGTTATCCTTTAGCGTCTATGCAAGGATTTATATGGCTATCATAGACCGTTACAGTGAATAAAACATGTGTCTAAAAAACAAAAAAACTATTCAACACCGCTTGGAATATGATAGATAAAAGGATCAATCATTGGTCGGTGAAGAACGAAGATTATACTCTCAAAAACAATACAAGATTAACCTAATGAATATGAGTGTATATATGTATAACAAAAAATCCAATGTGTGTGTATAAAATCAAAAGAATAAGGCTCTTGAAAATTAAATGGCCAAAATAGTAAATATGAAGAACAAGAATAAGAACACACTAGAATTATAAAATGTAATGGCTACCATGGCAACGGTAAGGTGTACCATGAAGGGTATCGTGTTTCTGTCCGGGTTTTCCAAAAATTGCTTAATCCTTTGAGTTTGAGTTTAAAACCTTTTTGGATATATGAATATATTTATGATGTAGTTTTCAACATATTTTGTGAGTGCTTTTGAGCTTGTGAATATAGGTAGATAAAATCATATCCTCACATTTGTTTCTACCTATATTCTATGTTAATTTAGTGTTTTAACTTCATTCTTGAGAACTGAATCTTAATGGATTCTTGTTATACCTAAAACACTTAAACAATTAATTAAATGTGGAAGCATTTATCTCCTTATATAAAATTACTGCTCTAATGATTCCACACCGAATTTAAATTGATCTTCCCCCTAAATTTTTTCTATTATTTTACTTCCTTCTTTTTTGGGGGGAGGGGGGGTCATGCCAAATTTAAATTGATCTCCCCCCTAAACTTTCCATGCACTTCTTAACCTGGTAGTTTATTAAATGTTCCACATTAATAACCTGGTTTTGTGAAATCTCACCCCCACATGCGTACATGAGTCATAAGCATACCACATTTAAAGTCTCTTAATTAATATTTAATAAGTCATAAGCTTACCCTATTTTAATGTAATACTTTGATCATTAATATTTCAAAGGCTATCCTTGAACTTTTATCCAAGGATTTCTCAGCTATCTTTTATTGTCTATGCAAGGATTTATACGACTATCTTACCTCCCTAATGAGTTTAGGGTTTCTCAAGCTCGTTTCTCTCCTAGTTTTCTAGGTTCGTGTTCAGCGATCTTCACCCTCTGACTTATGGCGCAAACTACACCGGAAGATGCAGTGGAGAAATTGGCGTCCCGATATGATGGCTTGGTGCTTGAGGACGAAGAGGTGGGTCTTATGCCAGTAGGGATAGAACCTCACGCCGATATTGGGGCAGGGGCTGGATCTTGGATGCTCGTGGGCAGGTTTCTTACTGACAAGCTTATCAAATTGGAATTTATGCAGCAAGTAATGGCGTCGGTTTGGCGTCCGGTCAAAGGAGTTCAAGTATCAGAGATTGAACCAAATCTGTTTTCCTTTGTCTTCTTCCATAAATCAGATTTGCAGCGGGTGCTAGAGGAGGGGCCTTGGTCTTTTGAGAATAATACGCTCGTTTGCTGTCAGGTTGAAATTGGGGATCTACCAAGTTCGGTGGTCCTCGATACGGTGGATTTGTGGGTTCAGCTCTACGATTTGCCTTTGGGATACACATCAGACTCAGTTTTGGCACAGATTGGGAACTTCATTGGTTCTTTTTTGAAGTGCGACGATAGACAGGTAAGTGTACCATGGCGTGCTTTCTATCGTATTCGGGTCTCTATTCCGATTGCTAAACCTTTGAAGCGTCGTATGAAGTTGATTAAGCGTGACAGTTCTTGGACGTGGGTGAATTTTAAGTATGAAAGGCTACACACCTTTTGTTTCTTTTGTGGCTTGATGGGGCACTCCCACAAAATTTGTCTTAGGGCGCGGGAGGCAACAATCCTGGTGGAGCAACACCTGTATGGTCCATATCTTCGTGCCGGCTTATCTCGTGGACCGCGGGCAGTGGGGCAGCGGTGGTTGGTCCCTGCAGGTGGTGTCTTGGGTGGGAGGATTGAGGGTGATCACTACACCAAGGGGGTTGTTGGATGGGGGGGCTCGAGCGAAGTTGAATCAGGTGTCTTGGCTGCTTCCAAACGACGAAGGGAGGGGGAGGACTTTGAAGATGGTATGAGTGGTGAAGCGCATGCTGTTGATGTCTCTATGGAGGATGTCTCAAAAAACTTGCTTGTGGCGGGTTCTGGTTCCCAGACCCGCCCGTCCCAATGAGTACCTTGAGCTGGAACTGTCGTGGCTTGGGCAATCCACGCACAGTTCGTGAGGTTGTGGACCTTGTGTCCAGTAAGAAGCCTGACTTTGTTTTTCTAATGGAAACTAAAGTGAATAGAGAGCATGCAGAACGACTCCGGATTAAGATCGAGTTTGAAGGGCTCTTTTATGTCGATAGAACAGGTTTGGGCGGAGGCCTGGCGTTGCTTTGGAAAAGGAATAATACTGCACAGCTTCTTAGCTACTCCAAAAATCATGTGGATATCATGGTGAGATTGTATGGCCGGCAGCCTTGGCGCATGACTTGCTTCTATGGCTTTCCAGAGAGGAGTAGATGCAGCGAATCATGGAACCTCCTTAGAAGCCTTAGCACACGTTCGTCTCTTCCATGGGTGGTCGTGGGGGACTTTAATGATCTATTATTTCAACACGAGAAGCGGGGCCCTATCCCACACCCTGAAGGTCTTCTTCGTGGATTTGGGGAGGCTCTTGAAGATTGCGGCTTACTGAATGTCCCGACTATGGGGTACTCGTTCACATGGGAGAGAGGCAAAGGCACTGAGGCTTGGGTGGAAGAAAGGTTAGATAGGGTGGTCGCTACTGGGGATTGGGTTGATTTGCAAGGGGCTATTCAGGTCTCCAATATCCTTACCCGGACGTCGGACCACTCTGCCCTCTTTCTCGATGTTTATGAGTCTGAGTGTAGGGTGGGAAGAGGGGGCCGAAGGTTTAGGTTTGAGATGGCATGGCTGCTGGATAAGGGATGTCGTGGGGTGGTGGAGGCTGCTTGGCGTGATGGACGTGCAAACGGTTTGTTGAGTTGTGTCCACAACTGTGGTGTCCGCTTAATGAACTGGGGGGGGGGGGCGACCGTGTCCATATGTTTGGAAAACGTATCAATGAGTTACGAAGAGAGCAGATGCGTTGGCGGGGTCGGTGTGATCCTTACTCTCTAGACGAATTCCGCAAGTTGGACTTTGAGTTGTCACGACTTGAAGCTCAGGAGGATGCATATTGGAAGCAACGGGCCAAGCAGCATTGGTTGCGGGGTGCCGATGCGAATACCAGGTTTTATCATAAATTTGCTTCTAATCGTAGACGCAAAAACAATCTACTTAAGCTTCGTGATGACGCGGGACACTGGGTGGAGGGGAAGGATCTGGTCCGGGTTATAATGGAGCATTATGGTAATATTTTTAGTGCAAATGGGGCCGCTACTGGAAATGCTAATTTTTTTCCCTCGGTCACTCCTCGGGTGTCTGGTTCCCATAATGCTCAGTTGGAAGCTCCATTTGAGAAGGAGGAAGTCAAATCTGCTCTTTTTAGTATGTTTCCCGATAAGGCACTAGGTCCTGATGGCTTTAACCCGGGGTTTTATCAGCATTTTTGGGACATTGTGGGTGATGATGTTGTGAGCTTTGTTCTTGACTGTCTGAATTTGGGTTCTTGGCCAAGTGGGCTTAATGATACCAACATTATTCTTATTCCCAAGAAGAAAGACCCGGAAATGGTCTCAGATTTAAGGCCGATTGCTCTGTGTAATGTTGTGTACAAGGTAATGGCGAAGATGATTGCGAATCGGATGAAACCCTTGATGGGAGAGGTGATTTCTGAGTCTCAGAGTGCTTTTGTTCCGGGAAGACTTATCACAGACAATATCCTTGTTGCGGGAGAGATTGGGCACTTTTTGAACAGGAAGCAGATTGGGAAAGTTGGGTGGAGTGCACTCAAGCTCGACATGGCCAAGGCTTATGATAGGATGGAATGGCCTTTCTTGAAGAGTATGATGTTGGCACTAGGTTTCAACGCGAGATGGGTCAACTTGGTGATGAGATGTGTTACTACTGTTACTTATAATATTCAAATCAATGGTAGTATTGGAGGTCAGGTGATTCCAACGCGGGGTTTGAGGCAAGGAGATCCTTTATCTCCGTATCTCTTTATCTTGTGTGCTGAGGGACTCTCTCTTTTATTACAGCAAGCTCAGACAGTTGGAGCCATTCATGGATGCAGGGTCGCTAGGGGGGCACCAGCGGTTTCACACTTGTTTTTTGCAGATGACAGCCTACTATTTTTTAAAGCAAATGTCGAGGAAGCTGGAGTCATCAAACAGTGCCTCCAAAATTATGAGAGTCTCTCTGGTCAGTGTGTCAATTTCCACAAATCTAACATTAGCTTCAGTCGGAATACCACGGAGGAGACAAGAGACCGTGTGGCGGGTCTACTTGGGGTCTCTAAAGCGGATAATTTTGGAAAATATCTTGGATTACCCTCATTCATTGGAAGTAATAAACGTGCTGTTTTCTCGTATATCGAGGATAAAATCAAGCAGAGGATTGGGGCATGGAACAAAAAGTTGTTAACTAAAGCAGGTGGGAACAACAGCAAAGGAATCCATTGGATGGCATGGGATCGTTTATGTGTCCCGAAAAAATTCGGGGGATTGGGCTTCAAGGATTTACGGGCTTTTAATTCAGATATGTTGGGTAAGCAAGGGTGGCGTTTTCTGACGGAGCCGCAGTCGTTGGTTGCTAGGATCTACAAAGCAAGGTATTATCCTCGAACTTCATTTATTGATGCTACTCTCGGTAGTTGTCCTAGTTTTTGTTGGAGGAGTATTTTGGCCGCTCATGGGCTTGTTTGCAGTGGGGTGCGTCGCAGGATTGGTAATGGGGCTAACACGTTGGTGTGGGGTGTCCCCTGGCTCTCTGATGCTTATGACCCGATGGTTCATACCGCTATGCACCCTCAACTCCAAGAAAGTTTGGACTACGCTGGATGGTGCTCAATTGGAGGTGGTTGCAGCTGTTCTTTCTGGAATATGGCAGGCCAGGAATTCAGTGGTTTGGGAGTTGAAACTACCCTTACCTCGTCAAACTTGGAATCTGGCAGCACATAATTTGGAAGCATGGCGTCATCTGGTGCACTTCCATGCTCCTCCTCCCGAACCAGATCTGAGGCAACACATCCATGTTGTACCACAGGGGTCTGATTTTGAGTTTACCTGCTGGTTTGATGCAGGCTTCGAGGAGCGGACAGGTAGGGCAACGTTCGGGGCAGTGCTTTTGTCTCATGAGGGCAGGTTTGTGGCGGCTATGAATGGTCCTCTCTTTGATGTATTATCCCCGTTGATGGCTGAAACATTAGCATGCAACCTTTGGAACCATACCAACTTTCGATCCCTGTGAAGGTTACAGGCAGAAAAGAGCCTAACGAGATGAGAAACAGTAATAGACCCGAGCCGAAGATGATGAAGGGCCTGAATGTAACCGTTATATTTCCATGAGTGCAAAGTGTTACTTCGTACTTTTACTAATTGTTCAGTTTCGTTTGTTCCCCGCTCTTCAAACTCTTTAGCCCATCTTTTGGCTACAATGGCCTATTCCCAACCCCAAACTATGTACTGGGACTCTGTTCCTCCTTTTTTTCGTCTTTGATTAATCATATGTGAGTTTTTTCCTTCAAAAAAAAAATGTGATTCAATTTGAAACCCGAAATTTTAATTTTCCTCCAACGGTCACGGTAGCGAGGTACCGACTATACAGTATCACGGTACCATTGGGACGGTTTCACAGTACCACTTAAGGCGGTCTCTTGGTGCCGTGTACCTTCAAAAAACTAACCAGTCTTGGAAGACTTTAGGGTCTCACGGTACCATGGTACCGTAGAGACGGTAGTGCCTACCGTGACAACGGTAAGGTGTACCTTAAGAGTATCGTGCGCCTGTCTTGGTTTTTCCAAAATTCACTACATCCTTTTCGTTTGAGTTTAAAACTTTTTAGATATTTGAAAATGTTTATAAGGTGGTTTTAAACATATTTTGTAAGTTCTTTTGAGCATGTGAATATGGGTATATAAAATCATATCTTCACATTTGTTTCTACGTATATTCTACGCTAGTTTGGTGTTTTAACTTCGTTTTTGAGAACCGAATCTTAATGGATTTTTGTTGTACCTGAAACACTTAAAAAACATTAGCTCATATATTGTTTGTTAATATCAAAACACGAGGCTTAGCAAACCAAGGCTAACAATCTCCTCCTATTTGATGTTGACAAACAATATACTTCAAAATGAGTTAGGCAGGAGTAAAAATAATAAAGCAAGCAAGCTCCCCCTAAGAATAAGGGTATTGAAAATACTCACTTTGAACTTTTCTTGTGTTTATTAAAAGTTTAAGTTTGTTGCAAATAATCACACAAGCATGTACTCAAGTTGCATAAGCACCAGTTTGAAATATATATCTTTTCCCCATTTTGTCAAAATCAAAAAGGGCATTTTGAAAATTTTAAACATGTATAACTTCTTGAGAACCCTCCCCCTATCAAAATAATGTTTTAAGAAAAATGATAGTTTGGAGATCATTAGACAAAAGGTGCATTTACAACAAAACTCTCATTGAAACAAAAACTCTCACTTATATGATGCAGTTTTTAACCTTTATTTTCACAGATTTTTGGGGATAATTTTTAAGAGGCATGATTTTAAAAAATGAATTTTGAAAAATTATTTAATAATGCAAACCAAGGCTGAAAAAAAATTATAGCACATATGGGATAAGGTTTTATCCCAATATCTTATCCCAATAAGTAATAAAAAATTTACCTTGACTTATGTCGTTCTTTCTTCGTCTTGAAATATACTTCTTTCTCTTTTGATTTTCTCTTTCTTAAGTATTCATAAAATTTTCGTTGAAGAAAACTCTTTTATTTCTTTCTCATTTCTCTTTCTTCGTCTTCGTCACCACTTGACGAATTAGAGTCATCAGATGTTTCATCCATTTCACTTGACTCATCACTCGAGTCATCACTAGACTCCTCTTGGAATCTTGAACGCATTGGTTTGTTTTAGATCTTCTCTCAAATATTCTTCTTTCGTCTTAATCATCAAAAGATCGTGAGAATACAAAGAAGACCAAATGTAAGCGGTGTTTTCTGTTGCACATTTGGATAAAAGATCTGCAATACTATTATGTCATTCTTTTGGCAAAGTAAAATTTTAGTATTTAATTTACTTGTAGAATATTCCTTACCCAACATATCCATCTTGTTAACTATTTCACTGAACCTTCTATTTTCATTTTGGATTGACTCGTGTTGGTCAACTTCGAAACTTTCATCATATTCCAAGTTTCCAAGGGCCAATGTGATTTGCTTCGTGGAGGAGTCTCCTTCATGCGTGGCTTGAAGCAAATCTCATACCTCCTTGACTGTTTTGCCAAGAACATATGTGCGAATTCATCAGGTCTAAGGGAGCAATGAAGAATGTTCATGGCCTTTGCGTTCATTGATAATTTCCTCTTGTTCTTGGCCGATAAATGTGCAAGATTACCATTTCTCGGTATAAATGACCCGTGAAGTACATTCAACCATAAAACAAAATTAATTGACCCACGACCCGGACACAAATCCGGTCTGGTTCAAAGTAGAAACTCGTTTTCTAATTGACCCATCCAAACCCGTTTGACCCGGCATATCGGGTGACCCGGGTTGGCCCAGCTAGTTCACGGGTTTGGGTTACATCCCTTTAGGATCTGAGCTACTCGTTGTGTTCACGGGTCGAACCCCTAACTTTTACGAACTGGTTCACGGGTCGAACCCCTAACCTCCATGTTAATTCAGTGCCACTTTACGAACGGAGCTTCTCGTCTTTTTGTATAAAGAAGGCAAGCAAAATGTTTAAATATGCATTATAATACATGCGCAAAATTCAAAAAACTTAATCATAAAGTGTAGATTTTCTCTTTGGCACGTTTGAATTTGTATTTTATTTACTCTACAAACTTTTAAAATACTTCAAAAAAAAATTTAAGCATGATTTATTTTTACTCCAAAATAAATACTCCGGAGTATATACATTTTGTACCTAAAAATTATTGTTATTTTTAAACATTAACTATTATTTAATATTTATAATCTAATATGCAACATTTTTATACTTGCAATCTTTTAAACGAATTATATATACATTTTAAAATGTCAAAAGCATATAAGAGCACATTATCTAGTATGTACATTTTTGAAAATACGCAGTACAGTATGAGTATTGTCTTATTATTTAAGTACCTGTAGATATTCATTAATAATTTTAAAAATAATACAAAAAATATTATAAAAAACCAGGTATGGAATTGTATATCCACAATCATATTAGGAACTAAATGGAGAAGAAAAAAAATACAAATTAAAATACTTTTATAACTAAAATACCTAATAATATAATATAAATTATTAATTAAAATTAATATTGACCAGGTCGTTGACCTCCGGGTTTACCGATTCAACCGGTTAGCCCTTGACACACTCCCTCATCCTGGTTGATGTCTGGTTCGATCTGGTTTTCAGAACTTATTAGTCGTTGTGCCCATGCCTTAGAGAGTTAAAGGGGGTGAATAAGGCGTTTAAAAAGTTTTTAGTGTTTAGTAAAATTGGTGTTGGCAAATGCGAAAGCAATAAATAAAGCACAAAAATAAAAGCATAAACTAAAGACACACCAATTAAGACTTGTTCGGGAACTCCATACTCTAGTACCTTAAGGCTCCTTCTTAAGGATTTCCGAATTCACTAGGTCTTGGTCTCTTGAACTCCGTTAAAGCACCCCACTAGTTTTTTCAAACAACTCTTGCCAATATGATTCACTCCAAGATTTTACAACGGCAATCTCAAACCGCTTACAATGAAGATTTCACGACTATCTTCGACCGTTCCTCCCAAGAATTTGAAATTAAAGGTTATCCTTGAACCTTTACCCAAGGATTTCTCAGCTATGTTTTACCGTCTATACAAGGATATATACGGCTATCCTCGACAACTACCATGAATGGAAGATGTGTCTAAAAAATACCGAAAAATGATCTACACCTCTTGGCCTATGATAAATAGAAGGATCAATCCTTGGCCAACTATTGCTTGTTGTTTAAACAAAATTAGTTTATACACTCCCCCTTTCATAAAACGGTTCTTATTTTGAATTTTAGGAAAAATAAGGAGTATATATTTATGTTGAGTTTACAGTTTTGTCTTTGATGTGATAGATAAAAGTAAGATGTGATTGATAGATTATAAGTAAAAACTATGATTTGATAGGTAGGGTAACAAAAAGTAAAAGGTAAAAGTGTTTTTTTAATAAAAAGTGGAAGTATTTAGAGAAAACAAAAAAATAAAGAGAAAGTATTTTAAGAAATGGAGGGAGTATAATTTAAATTCTTGTGCGTAGGAGTAGGGGTGGACACGGTGCGGTTCCAGTCCGGTTCTGGTTCCTGAACCAGTGGTTCTGGTACAGCTACCCCGTGGAACCGTTACCAGAACTACCGCTTCCCTCTGTGGTTGCATCCATGTAATTTTCGGTATAACGTCGTACCCTCACTCTTGAGCTCGACGTCTTGCCAAGAGCCAATCTCGGTTGCAAATAAGTGTCTCAAGCGATTCAGTGTTAAGACAACTTCGGTAGTCGGTAAAAATGTTACCGCTAGAACTGAATTCTTGTTCCACAGCTACGGTTAAAACCGGAATGGATAAGACTTGTCTGGCTAGCATTCTGAGAGACGGGAACAATTGTTCATTTCAATTCCCCCATTCGAGGACGTCGAAACCCCTGTCGTTGTCTTCGTCATAATCGCATTGCACCATTTGGTACCTAGCAAGTTCATTATGCAAACCTACACTTGTACCACCTCAGAGGAGTATTTATAGGTAAAATATGACCTCCCCCACCCCTCGAAACAGCTATTTTACCGTTGGAGGCCCTCCCCAGGGCCCACACCAAAAAGAAAGAAAAGGAAAAAAATAAAAATTGTACTGGAATCGATACCACCGGTTTCGCTCCCAATATCTATACCTAGAAGGCTAAAACCGGGCCTATGGACGTCTGTTCCGGTTCTGAACCTCTGTATAGTTTCTCCGTCTCTATCATCGGTCCCGGGACAAATTTATCTTTAATCTAAGAACAACTTTAGCGTGATTGCTTACTGGGAGTTTTTAGCTAAGAAATATTGCTTCTCTAGGTAACCCCTATAATAAATTTATCTTTCTTTTTTTATACTTGTAGTGATAAATATGTACATTTGTAACAAATTAAATAATGTGGATTCGATTTAAGATTTACTAACACCCTTTTGTAAGATTTTAATATTGTGGATTAAAACTCATGAAATGTTTCATATATTATGAGATCGATATCATTTTCCACTTTGAAATACAAATACACAATGTCAGATTGTAGGTCTTTGTTATAGTGCATCCCTCATCGAAAGTCCAACAGTAAAATAATCGGTATATAAGCTTTTGAGTTGAACTAACTAATCGATTGAATTCAATTTTTTAATGTGATTCAGCCCAAGTGTCTTATTGCCCAATCCAGTTGTCCATACTCCATCTTAAATTCTATCATGGTATGAGAGCAGGTGTTGGTCCACCTCGTTTGTCAAGGTGTCCGTCTAGACGTTCATTCCTATTGGCCCGTTAGTATCTTTAGCCAAATTGTCTGTATGGAGTATGTATACAACGACCTGTGGCCCGTTTAACACGATTGCCCGTCTGGAAGTCCATACCCAGCGGCTCGTAGTCCTTTAGGTGTTGGCGCTCAAAAAAAAGTCAAGGGAATGTGAGTTTATTTGCAAGTGGGTCAACCGGTTAAATTCAAAATGGCCCAGTTGTCCACTTGAGGGAGAGTGTTAGAGTGTCATCCCACATCGGAAGTTCAAGAGCAAAATAATCGATATATAAGCTCTTGAGTGAATTAGCTAATCGATTAGATTCAATCTTTTCATGTGGTTCAACTCAAGTGTCTTATTATCCAATGCAGTTGTCGGTATCCATCCTAAATTCACAATGGGGAAATTTCTACTTTGAAAAATAAAAATATAGGAAGTTTATTTTTGCATAAAGTTCATATTTTAGTCCTATGTAGATAATTTTTATAATAAAAAAACTTTAATCAAATAGATTAAACAAAACAAAAAATTACCTTTCAAAAAAACAAAATTATTTAGGGAGAAAACGAGTGCCAGTTTTGTCCATAGCTTAATACGGATCGGAGTACTTAATAATTTACTCCGTAACATTTTTGTCTTTTTCTAAATTTTAATTGTAACTTGTAAGCATCCAAGATATTGGTGTGGTTTTTGGAAGCTACGAACCCGAAAAGGATATGATTTATGAATTTTCTCAACGAATATGCTAGTGGTGAGACAAGGACAGCCAACAATGACATAGACAATTATTATTTTGAGTAAATTTTTAAAATGATAATTAGTTGTTTTTTCTAATTTAATAAGTAATAATTACCAACATAGTTATTGGTAATTGAGATATATTAGTTAAACAGTCTTTTATCAAAAATGTCTATTAAATGACAACTAAATTGAGAGTATTTTGATATTTTCTATCGTCAAAATGATTCTTTCGAATTAAGTGGATGACTCCTAAAGAAATGGACTCACCCCAAGTAGGCTCATGAGCTTCATTTCGGGAGAACATTTACTTAGAAATTATTAGTTTGAAAAAATACTTAATAACATAAAAGCATTTCTAAAATATACTTTAAGTCTAGCTAGATAGTAAATAATACTCCCTCCGTCCCGGAGTATTCGTCCAGTTTTGACTTTTGGAACTGTTCATCTAAGCACTTTGACTCATCAAATTCTCTCAATGTGTAAGCCTAAATATAGTCATGTGTGATCTTGTTTGATTTGTCTTAACATATACTCCTCTGTTCCAAAAAGATTTACACGTTTCAAAAAAATTGCATCCCACAATCCCTTACCCATTTCTATTAAAAAACCACTTTTACTCCTTACTTTTTCAAACCATACCTATCACATCATACCTTTTTCTTAATAATCTACATATCACATCATACTTTACCCATCACATCAAAAGTATTTTTGGAAAGTCAACACAAAATTATCCCTCCCTTAATTTCTCTTTAGTCAAAATGTACTCATCTTTATGGGACGGAGGGAGTAGATTATTAATACTCCCTCCATCCCACTCTCTTTGTCCACTTACCTTTTGGCACATCATCCAATGCACTTTTTTAATCCATTTTATCTTGTAATTTGTATATAAAAAAATTATAGAAATTATATATTAATAATCTACTCCCTCCGTCCCTAAATAAAGTTCCTCTTTCGTTTTTTCTTTGTCCCTAAATAAACTTCTCTTTTCCCTTAAAAAACCTCTTTTATCCCTTACTTTTTCATACCCTACCTATCACATCATACCTTTTTACTAATAATCTACCTATCACATCTTACTTTAACACATCACATCAAGGGTATTTTTGGAAAGTCAACACCAAAATATCCTTCACTTAAATCCTCAAAAAGTCAAAAATGGAACTTTATTTAGGGACGGAGGGAGTATATGTTAAGACAAATCAAATAAGATCACACATGACTATATTTAGGCTTACACATTGAGAGAATTTGATGAGTCAAAGTGCTTAGATGAACAGTTCCAAAAGTCAAAAGTGGACAAAGAGAGTGGGACGGAGGTAGTATATAATTTCTATAATTTTTTAATATAAAAATTACAAGATAAAATAGATTAAAAAAGTGTATTGGATGGTGTGTAAAAATGAAAGTGGACAAATACTCTGGGACGGAGGTAGTATCAAAATACCTTCTATTTGACTGACATTTAATAGATATTTTTATACAGGACCATTTTAGGATAAATCTAAATTACGAAGGATCATGCAGGTAATTATTATATATTGATAACTAATTTGAGAAAAACACCTTAATAGAAACGACTATTTTGAAAATTCACTCTATTCTTTATTATTTAAACTTTCTTCCCAATTTCACATTGCAATCAACTTGTGAATCATATCTAAGGTACACAAGAAAATTAATTTAGGCATCTTTTCACATGCATAAAAATAATTTTTGATGGATATATCCTTATACTCGGCCTGAATTTCCGAAAGGGACAGGTCAAAAGTTGACCGGTCACTTTCTATGATTACAGAATGAGAATAACTCTTCGATTGAGACGGGTCAAAAGTTGACCGGTCACTTTCCTTAAAAAGTGACCGGTCACATTTTGGACGATAGCCAAAATGTCACATTATGTTACGAAGGATATTCCGGAAGGCCAAAGAGACGGGTTGAGCTCAAGAATGACCGGGCAACCTTTGAGAAAAGGTGACCAGTCATACCACTTTACTTGGCTAACATTGGTTTAGTTCCTCAAGCATGGCAATCAGCATTACAGACCAGGGGACCACCCCGCCGTTCATCCATCACGAGGCATACAGTGAAATGGATGTTTATCATCTTTCAGGGTTGATTGGATTGAGAATATTCATCTTATAGTCTTTGATTGAACAGTGTCTTGGCTTGTAGCTACTAAATTCACTGATTGAATAGTGATTAGATTATGTACAGTGACCTTCCTCTGGGTTTCCTATTTTGTCCATGGATGAACATGGGAATGTCACAAATCCTCCTCTATAAATATGATGATTATGGATAGAGGAGGGGATCCAATTTTTCTCTCACTAAAATTCACTCTTGAGATAGAGTAAGAAATATAATTCGGACTGAGGAGATTTACCCGGTTTAGGTCATACTTTGTGTTCTTGTTGTGTGTATTTTACTACGGGTCGAGTGTGTCCAGGTCAAGCCTGGTCAACCCACCCAGCTATATTTACACCATCATTTTTGGCGCCACCCGTGGGACCTGATTTGTAAAGTTTTTCGACCAGGTCAAAACTTAGCTTTATCCCCACGAAATATTCACGATCATGTCTTCAAGCAACCATACCGTTATTTCAGGCCAGGCTGCGAGTGAAAGCACTCCTGCCATCCCATTGGTGATGACGAGCATGGGGTCAACTTTCGCCCCAATCACCACGATGGGATCGCTGGGGATGATCCCTATCATGTCAACCCCTACTCCGATGCCAACAACGACAATGTTCCCAGGTTTGATAAGAACACCTCGTGGGGCATTCACGCCATACCCGTCAAGCTTGGCTCAATTTGCCGCTAACCCGGCAAATGCTTAGGCTCTGCAAGGTTATCAACAGGTGATGGCCATGATGCAACAGACAGGGGGCTTCATGCCATTTGCCTATCCCGGCATGATGCCACCAATCATGAGTCATATGCCACCCCCAGTGACGACTCCGTTGACATTCGTCCCTAGGATGGTCCCTGTACGCCCGGTGAATTTGGAAAGGGCCATGGACCAAGCATTACCCTCAAATGTCTATGAAGCCAATGATGCGGAGCAAGAGGCAGCCCGCAGAAGGAAGGGTAAAGCTATAGCTAAGCCCAGCAAATCCTGGGATTCAGCATTCAAACGCCTGGGGGACAAAGAGGATGGACTTCGCAAGTCTTCCAAGCTACGTCTTGATCCTGAGATGGGCCGGACTAGCGCGATGGAAAGACTTGGCGGGAGTCGTCCCGCCTTATCACGTCGTTCTAGAGAATCTGAGACGATTCACCTAGACGAGGAAAAGACCAAAAGTCAACCTTGGGCGTCGGCGTACACCAGGCTCTCATACGATGAGGATGACCTGGATAAGATAGGGAGCGTAGCAAGAAAGCTACGCACCCTGGAGGAAAAAGTAGAAGAGAAGGCGGGAGCAAAGAAGCATACCCTGGCGAAATCACCCTTCTCGGCTAGGGTACATGCACACAAGCTGAGGCGGAAGATCAAGGTGGACGTTGAGAAATTCACTAGAAAGGAGGATCCAAACATCCACCTCGACACTTTCCACAATGCCGCACAAATGGCCGGGTGTATTGATGCTGAGGAGTGTTTACTCTTCTTCTCATCCTTGAGAGGAAGACCAGTGGAATGGTTTAATAGCCTTCCTCATGGTAAAGTCGGGTCCTTTGAGAAACTTGCTGAGATCTTCCGCAGGAAATACCAGGACAATTGCATCAAAAGGAAGAAGTTTACCTACCTTTACACGGTAGGGCAGAAGGAGACGTTGACTCAATTCCTGACCCGATGGAGGGATGAGGTCAATAAGGTAGAAGAGATGGATGATAAGACGGCTATGTCTCTACTGATGAATGCATTCCGGTCGGGTGACCTCTACACTGAATTTTGTAGGAGGCCACCCTCCTCTTATCAGAAAGCCTACAATACAACATGGGAGTATGCCGAGGCAGAGGTCCTGAACAAGAGCAAGCGAGAACTAGAGGAAGGATATACAAGGGTGAAAACCGATAAGCCGAAGAAGGATGACCAGATAGGAGGGTCCAATCCAAGGGCCACACATGAGAACAACCCAAACGGTCCTGGACGGAGAAATGGTGTACCTACCACCAGTCAGATTCTCACAACACGACAGATTGCCGAAACGTGAGGGTCGTGCTTAGAGAAATGACCTTGAAAGGGGAATTGGGTGAAATATTCGTTACGGGGCTTGAGGAAGACCCATAGACGAGTACTTGAATCCACCAACATGAATAGGACCAGGAAAAGAAGAGAGGGTAGATAAGATGTGGTAAAGATTACTAAGCTTGCTTTAGACGGATCAGTCTTGATGTCTAGGACCTGGACCGTTGCATGGGCTGATAGCAAAAAAAACCCTTGAGATAGGGGTCTTGATGTTGAGGTATCGCCTTGAGACAGACTGGATTTGGAAGAGGATTCGCATCCATACTTACATGGATTCCTACCGACTTTTTGGTCGGGAAGGGTTAGAAAAGATGCCAAAAAAATATTACCGTCTTGTATGAGCCATCCTTTGTGAATCGGAATGTCTAGGGAAGACTAGAATTTCCGAACACATAATATATGGACGTGCAGGATTGGATGAGGGCTGGTTCTCACCGGTATACCCCCATGTGGGAAGATTAGGTTGGCTAGGTCAACCTAATAATTAGAGAATGGCACAATAAAAGACTTAAAACCTAGAAGAGGGGCCCTGGAAGAAGGGTGTTGCCAGGAAGAAGGGTGGACCTTGGAGAGGGTTCGCGATTATAGGACATGGTCAAAATCTCCGAAGATAGATCGGGTCTTGATGTTGAGACTTAAGACGAAAAACGTTTTGAAATATTTGTTCGAAGTTCGATCAAGGTCGGTCTTGAACATGACATGCAAGACAAATGGATTTAAGAAAAAAGGGCATGGTCGAAAAGTGACCGGTCACTTTTCTAACATTCTGGATTCAAAAGAAAAGGCAGACGGAAAAATTTTAAAATTGACCGGTCAACTTTGAAAAAAGTGACCGGTCGCTTTTTAATAGTCAGATTTGATGAAATCAGACAAGTTTGGAAAAACTTATTTTTGACCGGTCACATTTTGACCCGGCACCTGGACAGAAATTTGAGGCAAGATTGGTGACGTAACGTGACCAAACCATTGGGATTGGACCAGGACAAAATTCAACCTAGACGTCTATTACATTTCAACCTAGAAGTAAACCGGATCAGAAGATAAGTCGAGCACAAGGTGACCTGGATATTTTCAAGTCTGGAGACCAGGACATGAGATGACGTGGACGTTCTTAAAATGTTTCCTAAGGACATGAAATGACCTGGACGTTTTCAGGACTTGCACAAAGTGCCCTGGACGTTTTAAGGAGTTGATGAGAATAAAAGTTTAGACCAGGACGTTTCCAAGACCTACTAGACCTGGACGTCCTTCAAAAGTTTCAACCAATAAAAGTTTCAACCAAGCCTACTAGACCTGGATGTTTTCAAGACCAGGACATGAGATGACCTGGAGATTCTTAAAATAATTCCTAAGAGGGGGATCAAGCAAGAAAACAACCATGCAAGTCTAACCAGTCCACTTCAAAGGGGGACCAGGCAAGAAAATAACCATGCAAGAAACTTAACCATTCAAGAAGTTCAACCAGGAACAAAGGAATGCGAACGGACCATGAAAGCCTCCTTAATTGGTGACCCTTCCATTTGAAGAGGCCCGACCTTCTTTTTCCTAGAACCCTCCCGAGAACTCTTATGTGAACCATTCCACTCTTAAGACGGGCTGGGAAGAAGAGTGGCCAACCTCTTTGTCAGGGACCTGCACCGAAACCTTGGGCGACTTAACCCAATTATCATATGAGATTTGCATCATATAACCGGGTACTCTTGGAGGGGTGTGCACTGGACACTTGACCGGGTGCTCTAGGAGGACTAGGAGGACTTACATGGCAGAAGACCGGTTAACTATTTAGAGTTTACATTTGGATTTCCCAATTATTCAAAAGTGACAAGTCAGAGAGAAAGACTAGATGGTTTCAAAAGTGACAGGTCTGAAGGGAAGACTTGATGATTTTAAAAGAGACGTGTCCGAGAGGAAGACTTGGTGATTTCAAACGTGACAGGTCCGAGAGGAAGACTTGATGATTACAAAAGTGACAGGTCCGAGAGGAAGGCTTGATGATTTCAAAAGAGACAGGTCCGAGAGGAAGACTTGGTGATTTTAAACATGACAAGTCTGAGAGGAAGACTTGATGATTACAAAAGTGACAGGTCCGAGAGGAAGGCTTGATAATTTCAAAAGTGACAGGTCCGAGAGTAAGACTTGATGATTACCAAAGTGTTAGGTCTGATGATCTCCAAAGTGCCAGGTCTGATGATCTCCAAAGTGCCAGGTCCGATGAACCCCAAAAGTGTCAGGTCTGATGAAGTCCAAAGTGCTAGGTCTGATGAACCCCAAAGCGCCAAGTCTGATGAACTTCAAAGTGATACGTGTGATGATCCACAAAGTGCCAGGTCTTAGGAACCCCAAAGTGCCAGATTAGAAGAAAGAAATGATACCCAAAACCTCATTTTCGGTCAAGGGAAAGACTTGATACTTTCAAAAAAGGGCAGGTCATGGGAATGACTTGATTTCAAAGAAGGACAGGTCATGGGAAAGACTTGATGATTTCAAATAAGGACATGTCATGGGAATGACTTGATGATTTCAAAGAAGGACAGGTCATGGGAAAAACTTGATTATTTCAAAGAAGGACAGGTCATGGGAATGACTTGATGATTTCAAAGAAGCACAGGTCATGGGAATGACTTCATGATTTCAAAGAAGGACAGGTCTTGGGAATGACTTGATGATTTCAAAGAAGGACAGGTCATGATGATTTCAAAGAAGGACAGGTCATGGGAAAGACTTGATAATTTCAAAGAAGGACAGGTCATGGGAATGACTTGATGATTTCAAAGAAGAACATGTCATGGGAAAGACTTGATGATTTCAAAGAAGGACAGGTCATGGGAAAGACTTGATGATTTCAAAGAAGGACATGTCATGGGAATGACTTGATGATTTCAAAGCAGGACAGGTTTTGGGAATGACGGGATGATTTCAAAAGTGATAGGTCAATATAAATATACTTCCCGCCCTTGATGATTTCCTCACAAGGCCGATAAGTGGAGGACTTCTTGATGGATATATCCTTATACCCGGCCCGAATTTCCGATAGGGATAGGTCAAAAGTTGACCAGTCACTTTCTATGATTACAGAATGAGAATAACTCTTCGATTGAGACGGGTCAAAAGTTGACCAGTCACTTTCCTTAAAAAGTGACCGGTCACATTTTGGGCGATAGCCAAAATGTCACCTTATGTTACGAAGGATATTCCGGAAGGCCAAAGAGACGGGTTGAGCTCAAGAAATGACCGGACAACCTTTGAAAAAAGGTGACCGGTCATATCACTTTACTTGGCTAACATTGGTTTAGTTCCTCAAGCATGGCAATCAGCATTACAGACCAGGGGACCACTCCGTTGTTCATCCATCACGAGGCATACAGTGAAAGGGATGTTTGTCATCTTGCAGGGTTGATTGGATTGAGAATATTCATCTTATAGTCTTTGATTGAACAGTGTCTTGTCTTGTAGCTACTAAATTCACTGATTGAATAGTGATTAGATTATGTACAATGACCTTCCTCCGGGTTTCCTATTTTGTCCATGGATGAACAAGGGAAGGTCACAAATCCTCCTCTATAAATATGATGATTATGGATAGAGGAGGAGATCCAATTTTTCTCTCACTAAAGTTCACTCTTGAGATAGAGTAAGAAATATAAAACGGACTGAGGAGATTTACCCTGTCTAGGTCATACTTTGTGTTCTTGTTGTGTATATTTTACTACGAGTCGAGTGTGTCCTGGTCAAGCTCGGTCAACCCACCCAGCTATATTTACACCATCAATTTTTAATGCTTTTTTAAAAAAAAAAAAGCATATTTCAACATTAAGCGAATGTTTATCATCTTCATAAGTAGAAATTTCCCTATGACTTATGATCATAGTCCCTCTCGAAATGAGAAAAAAATCATAAAAATCATGTTTGAAATATTTCATGTTGGGTCCAAAAAAAAGATCTTATTTTCATGTCAAGAGAAATGTTGTTTTGCCAACGACAACACATGCATACATCCCAAAGTTCATCTAACAAGATTCTTCCTTATGTTTAAGATATTATTTTCTCTAGGTCGCATATATATACATAAATTCTTTCTACTTTTTTTACAATTAAATTAACTTTTAATTCCAACTCAAAATTCTTTCAAGCATCGCAAAATGTGGCCACATTATTAAATTTATTTTATTCAAATTAATCATGATCTCCAATATTATTTTACCTTATTTTCTAAACAAAAAATACATAAATAAAAGATAAATAAAATTGAAATATTTTAAATATTTTAAAAAAATCAATACTCTGTAATGAAAATATAACATGAGAACTTTGATGCTTATATCTATAGATTTTTATTTTGAGTAATTTACCTAAATAGGACTAAAACATAATGATTTTCTCAATATAGGACCATATGTTTTTATTTTTCAATGTAGGACCTTTAGTCATTATCTATTAGTCATTATTCAACCAAATGTCCAGCATCACTTGAACATTATTCTTCTCACTGGTCATTATTAAGTCATATTTAGGAAATAAAAAAGTTATCCTAGATTAGGAAATGACTTATATTTTAGATCTATTCAGTGCAAATTTTACTTTGATTTTAGCTGTTGCTACATAAGAAAACCCTCTAAATAGGAATAAAACATATGTTATATCCTCAAAATAGAAGCTCAAACTTAAACTCCTCTAAATAGGAGTAATTAATTATGGATGACTGCCATTATGGATGAAGTAAATTTACAAAATGGCCGCCCAAGCCACCGACTTTTCCTTCACAGCCCTTTCTCATATTTCTGGCAACATGGATGAGGTAAATTTACAAAATCAATGCCTTACAGCAATCGCAATTGTACAAAATGATTAAAATTCACCTCACAAGAGGGGAGAGTCTTAAATGGCTGCCATTATGGATGAGGTCATGTATGAATAAATAATAATAATAATAATAATAATAATAATAATAATAATAATAATAATAATAATAATAATAATAATAATAATAATAATAACAACTCCATCGTAGTAATAATTGTGAAATTTGGTGAAGTGAATGACTTGATTGTTTCATTGATACCGGGGGATATATATACAAGCTACAGTTACAAGCCCAATAAGATAGGCCCACCATGATACAGGATATACATAAACTAATATCTATACATAATATACGCTAACACTCCCCCTCAAGTTGGAGCATATAAATCAAAAATGCACAACTAGGACAAAAGAGAACGA